CTGCACATTCAGGCCCTGATTTAACAAATCACTTAGGCCTTGGCTACACTGGCGCTGTACAGCACTGCAACTTGCTGCGCTCAGGGGTGTGAAAACGCCCCGTACCCCCCGCGCAGCGACTGCAGCGCTGTAAAGCGCCAGTGTAATCAGCGCCTGCAGCGCTGCGAGCTACTCCCCTCGGAGAGGTGGAGTACTTGCAGTGCTGCGAGGGAGCTCTCACAGCGCTGGTGGCGTGACTACACTTGCACTTCACAGCGCTGCCACGGCAGCGCTGTGAATCCCCAAGTGTAGCCAAGGCCTTAATATCCTCCTGCAGGTCTACTTCCACCGTGATTCCTGTAAGAAAGCAACTGACTAATGGCACGGGAGAGGGGTGATTGGTGCTAGTCTACATATCTCAGCAGCAACAACCAAGAAAGTTCTGTTATCAAGCACTGCGCTATCAGAATCACCATCTTCATCAACTGTATGTTGTATTACATCCCTTCCCCTTCGTCTGTGTGTCTCCTTAAGGCTGTGAAGCTGTTTGGGGCGGGGACAGTACCATCCTTTATGCTTACACAGCACCTAGCATACTGTAGCACTACTGGAAACAAATACTAAGGGATATCTACTGCCGTGTTCCATTTTGGTGCCGCTAGAATAGAACCTGCAATGGGCAAAGTTCAAAGGCTGGTTTTAAGGAATGCAATTAATGAAAACAAGGCAGATGTTCTTTCTTAGCGCTTGATAGCACAGCAGGAGATCAGTTTTCTGCCTAAAACATTGTACCATCCCAGACTGAAAAATCTGTAGATAACAAAAAGTTAAGGCAGCACTAGAGATGGGCTGAAACCACAAAATTCAGATCTGAATTTCAAACAGCAAGAGATTCAGGGCGGCTCAGATGTGGGGCTTTGGTGCAACCCATTACAAAGATATAGGAGCCATTTTTAAATTTCAGATGGCGGGTTGTATTTCAAACACAGGCAGGGATGTTTGGATCTTGGATTGTAGTTCAGTCCCATCTTTATGCAGAGCCCTATAACTATGCCAGTCCCTCAATTTCTCTTTCAGTGTAAAAGGGGTAAGTAACTCTACTTCTAATGAGAGGGATAGCAGATTACTAAATGTATCTGATAAACGAAAAATAAGATCAATATAAGCAGAGCACGTAACTTAATAGAAGATGGTAACTGGCTGATAAACTTTTCTCATTTCAGTAATAGTTTACATTGAGACTATAATGTACAACCTTAAAAACACACACAAGTGAAATAATCAGAGGCTGTATTGCTTAAAAAAGAAAAAGGCCAGTTATAAGTGGAAACCCCTTCTGACAATTCTTCCAGTTTGGCTCTTAGTCTCCAGTTAAGCTACTTTTCACTAGCTGGTACCGTGGAGCAGTGAAATGAGGAGAATGTGCAACATGCAGCAATGGTGGCTTGAGCAGAGGTCCATGAGTTCCACTGCACCCACAAAAATGAGGCCCAGATGAACTGGTGTGCACTGGGGGCACTTCTTCAGGGCCCTCAGTTCAGGTTTGGCCCGGCAGCCCCCCTTGGTAATAAGGGGGTGACTGGGACAAATTTGAGTCGGGGGTGGTGTGACCTGGTACACAGGTTCACAGACCCACTCGGATTTTGTGCTTGCCATTGATAGTGCAGGGAGTGACTCACCTACCCTGGCCAAATCCAGATCTCACTTTGGATGAGGCCCAAGGTGACTGGGTCAGGGATACAGCTCCCACCAGCAGCGGGGCTGGAGCTCAAGGAGAGGCTGGACCAGCCCCCAGGCTGCATACATAGCAGAGGCCCCCCAGTCCCCATGGAGAGGAAGCAACCCCCCTAGGCCTTTGACTTCTCCCATTCCCGTGGGGAGAGAAATGACCCCCCCCCGGCCCTCTTTGACTCCCGATCTCCTCCCCACCTCCCGTTCCTGCAGGAAGAACAGCGACCCTCAAAGGCCTAGGTCTACTATGATCCCCCTACTTTCTCCCCCCCAATCACTGCACCCATTGAATCAGGAGGCAACATCTGTCTCTGACAACCAGATAGTTTGGATTAGGAAAGAAACTATACAGGTCCTTTACTCTGCCACCAAAATGTCTGAGGTTTATGGGATCTGAAGACTTGATCTGCATCAGTAAAAGAACCTTGGGAGTTACAGTAAGCGCATACAGGCTAAGCATAACAATTGGTAGGGAACAGCAATCTGCACCTCTGCTGCTTAGTATTGAACATCCTTAAAATTGGCCCAAACTGGTAAATAGTTCAGCATCGGTGAGTGTAAAAAAGCAAATAAAAAAATGTGGTAAAGGTGGCTATAAAACAGGCTAAAATAACTAGAGTTCTACACCCGATGCTAGGGACCGAAAGGGAATCCTGATTCTGAATCATCGGTGATAGCAAACAATTACAAATATTTAGCTATGTTCTCTAGCAGGTGTTAAATAGCTTTACTTATAGCCGAGTTGTAATATGATCTTCCTGCCCATCTTTCCACTGGTTTATAAGCAAGTCACAGGTCTCTCCCCAGGAGTCAAACACATCCTCGGTGGAGTCTATAAGTTTGGAATTAGAGGAACAAATATTGGAAGCACAGTGAAGAGAGCTGGTACAAACCATAGGACATTCCTTGCTCTGTCCAGTAAGTCTCATGTTCCCACTGTAGTCCACCTCATTGAGGTTAATTTCACTTTTGGAACAGTTCTCTTCTCTCTCTTTATCGATCTGAGAATATTTAATGTCTTGCCACATGTAATGCGGCTGAATAACTCCATCTGAAATAGTGTACATAGGCTCTGAATTTGGCTCAGGCACATGTCCATTCATCTTCGAGAAGAGGAGACCCAGTCTTTTGAAAGACTCTTTCTTGGAGCTCGAAAGTCTCTGAACCCTATTCCCGTTTCGGACGAAAGAGCGCTTATTTATTCCGTTGCTTTTTGGTTTCTCTTCCACAATTTCGATCCCAGACATAGTTTTAATCAGAGCTGACACATTGAAATCTTTTTTCTTGTTGTCTATATTGAAAGAAACACTCTTGGCTTTAGCTTTTTCTCCAGCACCATCCTCGTTGGTTTCATCCTTTTGGGAGACCTCTGTGCTGCTCGTAGAGTAACTTCTCCTCTGGGGTTTCCTGTTTCCCAAGAGGTCAAGAACTTCATAGCGAAAGCTAGATATGTCCTGCTTTAATTCCTAAGGCAAGAGGGAAAATGAGTTACACTCAGAAGCTTCATCTGTGACATGAAAGAATGATTGTATTCCCCTGAGAGGAGTGTTCAAAGTTATGCAAATTTCTGATACCAAATCACTATGTACAAGAATACCAGATAAATCTTTCATTATTCAGCGGCTGAAGGAACATTTTAGTAATTCTGTGCCTAGAAAGAGAGCCTCTCTAGATCTCTATGTCTCTAACAGCCATTAGACCAGCCCTCTTGACACCAAGAAAAAAAGGAATCATTGTTTTTTAAAAACCTAATGAAGATGTTCACGCAAGGGGTGAATGGGGGCGGGAAGGGGCTCTGCTGAAATTTACAAGCATTAATGTGACTCAGTCTTAGTTGATGGGCCCCACATTTAACTTGGGTGACAAACGTTTCCCTCTTTGGGGCTGACTCCCCCAGAAACTCAAGCATACTAAGGAAAAGATATAGCCCATCTGTCACACACAAACACTGTGATGTTTAATCTGTTGATTGTCATCTAAGGGCTGGTCTACACTGGGGGGGGGGGCGGATTGATCTAAGATACGCAACTTCAGCTACGCAAAGTATCTTAGTTCGACTTACATGGCCGTCCTCACGGCGGCAAGTCGATCGCCATGGCTCCCCCATCGACTCCACTTACTCCTCCCACCGAGGTGGAGTACGGGCGTCGATTCGGTGAGCGATTTATTGCGTCTAGACGAGACGCGATAAATCGATCCCCGATAGATCGATTACTATCCGCTGATCCGGCGGATAGTGTAGACGTGGCCTAAGTCTGTCTCTTCATGGCTGCCTTTGATTGGTCTGCGACCTTGCATAATCATATTCCTTGCCACTGGTGTTATTGTTCATACACACAATCTTTAGTCTTATCTAGACTAGCATTTAAAAGAGTGATGTTAAATGAAATTAGCTCAATCTGATTAACACCTTCTAAAATCCTAGTCCAGACAAACCGATTGCATTTTAGAACATGCTAAACTGCTAAAGCCTAGAGGGAACCAGAGGGGGACGGGGACCTTGCCTGCTCACAAGAATGCACATAGACATACGTGTCACAGGTATGCTCAGAACAAATAATACTGGATAATCCTTTCATCAGTAGGTCTCAAAGTGCTTTACAAAGGAGGTGGCATCACTGAGTGTAGCAAAAGGAATTGTTATGAGAGGCAACTGTATTACAGAATAATGGATTACCTTAAAATTTTCTTCAGTTAATCCCTCGTTGGTTTTGGAATTTCGTATCATTGCTGCAACATATCTTTTCACTAGATTTCTGATCACTTCCTGAAACATAAAAGAACATGAATAATTCAGCTACCTACTTATTGAGGCCAAACGGGGCAGTCTCATTGTGTTTTCACTATCTGTGACGTCTCTGTCCCACTGTTTGTGGAGTCACAGACCTGCCTTTGGTGTTGAAAAATGGGACATGTTCTTTCAAACATAATGAAGCATTATAAAGAGGTATAGATCGTGCATCTTGAAATCTCAGCAGTTAAGCATAATAAGTCAAAGTCCTGTACTTGCGTTGTGTGTATGTAACAATGCTTGTGTGAGAAGAGATTTCATGCCTCAGCCTTCCTAATTCGACACATGATTTCAAGCCACTTAACTTCTCTGCCTTGCTTTCCCCATTTGTAATATAAGGATAATTACCCACATCGCGGGGATAATATGAGTCTTAATTGGTTAAAGAATGTCAAGTGCTTTTAAAATTACAGTACAAGTCTCATATATATGCCAGGTATTATAGAACTGTTAAATATGTCACTTGGAGATTTGTTTTTCCCACACTCATGAGTCATGGACATCTCCATAGCTAAACAAATACATTTACTGAAGAACAGCCAAAACTTGCTAGATTCATTTAGAGCCACATTAGTCCACATAGATATAAACTGGGGTCCCATTGAAGTAAATGGAAATCACGGACATCTATCCAAGGGTATAGTCTATCCTGAGGGTGATCAGTCTAACATATGTTAACGGCTCCATCCTGCGAGGCTCCCAGACCTTGAGCACCTATTACTGGTACTGGGATCTGAGGATGCTCTCCACTTCATAGGATAAGCTCTTAGTGACTTGCCCCAGGTCTCTGACTCCTTCTGTGGTCCTGGGCTATTCAATTCAGACTGAATTTTTGGTGGGAAGAGATCCATTTGTGCAAACAAAAGTATGTGCCCATTTGCCCCTGCCTTTGTGCATGTCATTGCTATAATTACATAAGCAAATTGGTTTTTAGCCACTGTAGATGTGTTCACAAACACAGGTGTGCATTTGAACACACATTTTTCAGCATGTCAGTAGGCCTCTTCCCGCTCCAAATGTTGCCCTCAACCTCTCTGTGCCTATAAGTGGGGAGAGTAAATCTAGGATGCGTGTCCCTCAGGCAGATTGTCAAGGTGAATTATTTAGGGCAGGATGTTCAAAGGAAGCCTTAACTCCAGGGGCATCTTTGAAAATCCTCTTTGTCAACAGCTCCGAGAACTACATTTTCAAGAATGACCGTGGATGCCTTGACTTTGTGGTGCCCAGCTTCAGACAGATAAGAGAGGCCTGAGTTTCAGAAAAGTACCAAGTGCCTGTTCTCTGAAAACGAAGCCCCTTTAAGGTGTCTCAATTTTAGACACCTAATAAGTGAAGCACCCAAAAGCATGAGTCACTTGTGAAAATGTAGGCCCGATGTACTATGTAACACCATTCAGGGGATTTATTATTATTGTTTTTCCTTCCAGAATACTGGTATAATGCATTCAATTGGGTTCAAGCAGCTGGTATTGTAAATACACGTTCATCCCGTTATAAGTTGAATCTGATGAATTCTTGAACCCAGGCAGGCTAAGAATAAATAGAAGCTACAAAAGTCTTTGCAGTAGAAGAAAACATTCCTCTCATCTGAGCCTTCCTCAGTCGTAAAAAGACACCGATTGCTCCTTATTTGTGATGAGTCTCTGAATTCGTTGCAAAAATAAGGCTGAGCTTTTTCACTTTTTAAAGCAGCAATTTTGATGAGGATTTCACTTCACTGCGTGACCAGGCATGAAATCTTGGCTCCACTGAAGTCAATGGGAATTTCACCCAGCTTTTGCACTGTATTTGAAAAGGTGAAAGGCCACAAGTGAGTCGCTGACCTGAGCCGCACAGACCGTTTGGAAGAAGCCATGCATATTTTATTCCACAATGAGCCGAAACCTCTTAGCGCTTGTACACGTGTCAAAATACATTACAGCACTTTGCAGCCAGCAAGGTGTCACGAATCAAGCACGAGCAAGAAATAGGCAATAAATGACTTAATGTACTGGAGGCTTTACCTGGTAATGTTGATTCTGAATCAGGTTGTCAGCATGCCGTTCCTGCAATTAAATAGGAACATGTATATTACATGGGCATCAGTCACGTCTCCCACGGGCTCTTTGGAAACTGGCACAGCAGTAGCCCACTACTAAAAGCAAAGGGATACTGGAATCTGTGAGCCTGAATTAATAAATAATACTCTGGGCAAATGAAATACTAAAATATAAGGCTCCTTACTGTGAATGTTTTTAGGTTTTCATGCCTCTTCTGTTCATCCTCAGAGTCCATGTCTGGGCACAGTTGATTGTGGATCCACTTGCAAAGGTACCAGATTGACTTGGGACTTGGAATAATATTAAATGGAGGTGGCAGAGTGCCACCTTCATCAAAGTAACTCATCCACAGCTTTGTCCGTGCAAACTTCCACTCAATATCCGCGTGGTCCTGGGAAAGATGGAAACACAATGTTACTAGCTTCGGGCAAGCTGCGTTAGAGGGCACATTGACAACCACTGGATATGTATCAGCTTAAAGGTTGAGTCCTGCGAGAAGATATCTGTATTAATTCACATGTACTGAAGGGGATCTCACATGATGAATGAGAGACGAATTCAGTTCCTCTACAGCCCTTGTCCGTGTAAATACAAAATTGGTATGAAATGTAGCACAATACTGAGAAATGCAGCAACACCAACATATAGTGAAAAGTGTTCCCCTTTGACCCAGTGTCAAAACCTGGGTTCGTCATTTAAGATTTGTCCTGCCACTATTAATGGTTTCATTGACACCTAAAGCTGAGCAAGGAAAACCATTCCTTAGGCTGAGCTAGCACCAGTGAAGTCATCCACTATGAGAGGAGAAAAAAGAACTTTTCAACTCTTCTTTTCAAATATCATTGTTTTTCCTTTCCTAGTCTGCAGGTGTATAGAGACACTTCTCTGGGAAAGGATCTTAAACAGTTGTTGTGTTTTGTTTTTAAAGCTACTCTTATTTTAGCTCTTATAAATTTTAGATACAATAAAATCAATCTTGATAAAAAGGATACATTTTATTGTGCACTAGAGTCTGCATCATACTTATGCAAGGTTAAAAACACAATTAGATGCATTTTGCCTATTTTTCCATTTTCATCCTCATTGGAATAGTTCACATGTATCTAGTGCATTGCATCCAAAGACCTCAAAGCGCTCCACAAAGATGGGTAAGTTATTAGCCCCATTTTCCTGCTGCACAGAGAGGTGACCTGACTGGCCCAAGGTCACAATCAAGAATGAGGGCCCTACTTTGCTGGGTACTGTATTAACACGTAACACAAAGATGATTCCTGAGCCAAAGAGCTTAAAATCTAAATCTGTGAAATGTCTATCCATAAAAGGGGGTTGGAAGCATTGTTTCCTGTCTATGGTAACAAATCTCACATTATCTGCGGAGAGACACATCTGACTTGAGCCAGGATTTATAGACACCCTCCAGCTTTTCAAACCGGATCATGTGCTATGTCTTTTGTACTTTAATTTAAAAAGTGTCACTGTTTCATACGCTATGTAGAAATCATACTACTAGGCACAAAAGGAAGAAGATTGCTTGAGTTCTTCACTCAGAACAGTACTCCACACAGCTTACAACGTGACTCTGAATTGCAATGGTGAGGATGTACATTATGTATTGTTATCCACACAGGGTACAGCACTGGGCTGAGAGCTGTGACACTGAAGCTGTTTGGCTGTTTAGCATTTATGTTAACACTACCTCACATCAGATGACAATATGGCCTGATTCACACTGCGCTGGGAGGGGGCAGCCATGGAATTTTCTGCTTGTGCAGCCATTTCCATGAAGGGTGGCGTCTGCAAACCCATCGGACTGGGATGCTGGTCCCCAGAGCTGAACACTGGAGGAAAAGTGTAGGGTGAGGTGATGTGATTGGTTGCATGTGAGCATGTTTGTACTAAGCATTCACTAACTACAGCACAGCACCGATGCTGGCTAAGGTTCCACCTACACTATGAAAATGGGCACACTGGGTTCTTGGCTACATGGCATTGTCCTGACTTGGTTAAAATACAACCAGGTCTTGCCAGTTGAGATGGAACAGAACCATGTTTTGATCCCGTATCCACAACATGCTACAGCTCTGGATTTCAACAGGGCTGCAGCATAAGTCAGGAACACGTTCAGTTCAGCCCACACAGGAAGCATGTCAGGTCAGCACCACACTGTAGCAGGGGCGTTGAGACCATTGAACCAAACTGCAAACCCCGTATATGATGGAAACCACTTCAAGCCGCAGCACCCCTATTTCCAGAACCTATGAACTGTAGCCAGGTTTTCCGCACTGGTAGCTTTCTAAACATCGGTGGGATCATAGAGGCGGTTTGCCTTGCCCTTTGGCCTGTGTTACATTTTGACCAGATCCTCTGGATGGGCATAACAATAAGTAGCACCAAAAGGCATTAAAAGAAACAGCATCTTAACTTAACAGACAAGCTGGAGCCGAGATATATGCAGCCGCATGAAAGCTTTGTAGGCAGCCTTCTCCCAGGGAATCTACTGGAGCTGTGCAGGAGGGTTGCATAGAAAGTAACCAGACCCACATAACCCTGGCTACTACAATAGCCAACAAAGATTTCTCTTCCTCATTGTCCAGAAGGGCTGTACTATCCGGAGTACAGAGATGCTAGGAACTGCAGCCTGAGCGATGCTAATACTTTTAAATGGCCTCCGTTTACTGCGGAAATAAACTTTGCACTGAATGATGATGAATTTTAAATGCAAGACAAATTTTTGGAAAGGAAAGGTGGGAGAGAATCCTTTTCCCGGTGCACGTCTGTGTGTGCATAAGTGCACAGACATTCACAGTATCACAGATCCACTTCCTGCACTTTGCAACATTTTGTTATATGTTTGCAAAACTTTCATGCTGATACCTAATCCCCCCAGCAAAACTCAGCGCAAGGCCGAACATACTAAACACTTACATGTCTAAAATCATCCCAAGTGCTCTTTTATTAGCCTTTTTATCCATGTGGCTGATCCCAGGTATTTTAGTAAATATAGCAATGTGGTAAAGAGCTAGCAAGTCTTTATTTATTATTGGACAACTGCTTTGCCTAGTGTTACATTTTAGGCCAGGCACTGAAGTGTTAGTTATTTCACAGAGCAGGCACATGGACGGAGTTGAAATCCATGAAAATTGCTGTTTTCCTGTGGACTAGAAGAGACCAAAGTTGATATGTTGTTGCAACTACTATTCTAATTTGCCTCTATGTGTTTCTAGCTCAGAGACAGGAATGGGAAAAGAGACTAGCTTCAGAGATACTAAAGAGAAGGCTGTCAGAAACTGCTGATCAGCTTGTGTCCTGTAACAGGAGACTTGATAGCCCTTGTATAGATTACCCTAGTTTATGTCATTGCAATTTCTATTCTTATTCATGTGTCTAATTTTCTTTAATGTCACTAAGTTATTTGTTTCAATAATGTTCTGCAGTTGCAAGTTGCACAGGTTAGTCATATGTTGTACAGAGAAGTATTTCTTGATTCACAAACCCAAGTCTCTTTTGCTACAGCTTCTGGTTCTTCCCTTGTGCTACTTTCTTGCTCTTTGTGGGTCACTCTAATCTTCTGGCCACTGGTGCATCAGCATTTAAAATAAACACAAGAATGGCTAGAAGATGGGATTGTTCTGCATTTTTCTTTCCATTTTAATGGTTTTCTGTATATTTTGAGTATGACCTTTGAATCTGTATGTAGCTTAGTGTTCAAACCCCCTCCAGGGATTGGCAGAGAGCTCTCTCTCTCTCTCTCTCACACACACACACACACACAAGATCACAATTGCCCACTCTGGCTTGCAAGGTCTGATAGGGTAGCAGGGCTTGGCCAGCTGTGGTGAATTGGTGGTACCTAATTTCCTCCAGCATGTTATAAGAAGGCTGAATGCTGGCTGGAGGACCTAGTTGGTAGTGGGAGATAAGCGGTTGTTTCAGGGAAGAGTTATTAGGAAGGAGGCAAACAGCTAGTTTTTTTGTTGTTGTTTTGTTCGGGGTGGGGGGTTTTAACCAAACTGACATTTTGTCTGAATTAAGCCTTTTTGATTTCTCCATTTCAGACCAGAATAGGGCCTGGGGTGTGTGTGGGTGTATGTGTGCAGGGTGTGGTGTGGTGTGGGTGTAAAGTTTTGGAGTAATTTTGTTGGCCCCTGTAAAACTAAATGCGCCCATCTCTTGGGCTGGGAGAACCCTGGTCCCAAATCCATTTAAGCTTCACCTGATTTGTCACACACATGCAACTCTAGTATGATTTCTTTTAAAAAGACAAACAACTTGCTAAAATCTAACCCAGATTACCCAATCTTGTCCTCACTTGCTGCTGTGAATTCCCCGGAGATTCCAAATCAAGCTTGTTTCAGTTATTTGCACAGCTGTTTTGAGAACCAGAATGATAAGGGCAAAGCTATTTTGGTGGTAGTTTTACACTGGGACTGTGCAATGGAAAGGCTATTTATTTTACTGAGAGCATTTGTGTGTGCCAGGCAACTACCCTTTCCATATTCGAATCCCTCCTTAGAACACGGGTCAGAGGCAAAGTTGTTCAGTGATCACCCACCACAAAGCAAAGTACTTCTTAAAAAACCATCTGTCCTGCTTTGAGTTTTGTGCTTCACTGATCACTCAGTGCATTATAGGCCAAACTCATTCCTTCAGCGCACTGAAGTTAGTGCAGCTATCCCAGGGATGAATATGGCCCTATGTATTTGACTTTGTGATCAGCTCAGTCTTGAGTGTAAGTTCCTCAGGGAAGGGACCGTAGCTTCTCTGTGTTGTACAGGGCTCAGACCACAATTGGCATTTAATAAGTAAGAAAACCCCCTAATAAAGCAAGTTGATAGCATTTCTTTGAGACGTGTGTTTATGTGAGGTCGAAGGGTGCTGCCGTTTCACAGAGGAATATTAAAAGAGAGCAACTTGGATAAAATGTCACTCTCGGTAGCATCAGTCATATTCCAGGTATCTCAACATACCATCCAGAGCAATTCACTTAATGCAACGTGTAGTGACAGCAGACAACAGGAGTATTCTGTACTTCGTACTGACAGCTCATCTAGGCTTTGGCATTGTCACCACTTCTACTGAGAGAGAGGGGGGAGGTTGGCCAGGATATGAAGCTTATCCCCTAACCTTTCACCACAGCCAGGCAGAGCAGAGTACTGACCTTGCGGGGGCCACGTTCAGCAGGCACAACTCCAGTGGAGGTGCTGCACCTCCCCCACCTTGTATTGCAATGTCAGCCTGGTCTAGGAGCTCAGGTCTTCCTGGGACCCATGCCACTCGCACCCCCCATGTGGACATCCTACTCACTGAGCTGGGCGGACTCTGATTCCCAGCTCATTTGTCATTTTTAGATGATTGTTTTTTCCATCCGCTAGTTCCACATGTGCTCTGCAA